AAAAAAAAAAAAAAGGGGGGGGGAAAAAAAGTTTTAAAAAAAAAAATTACATCTGTTAACTTTACAAACGAAGAAGAACAGAATCCCAGAATGATAAGCACGGAGGGGGAGGAGGAAAATGCCTTTTTCTCTTTTTTCCGCCTTGTGTGTCAGGAGTCATGCAAGAATTTCTCAGGGGGGAAATTAAGAAGGGGGAGGGGAAAAAAAATTTTTTCAAAAGAAACAGAAGGGGAAAAATAAAAGCCCCACACCTGCAAAGTAAAGAATTTTTTTTTCTTTTTTTCTTTTTTTTTTTTTTTTGGACACAGACTTTTTGCATACCATTGATTCATTGGTGTATTAATGCACTTATATTCCCAGCTTTAAGCTAACATACAGTAAATAAATACACAGTCCAAGGAGGGAGCGGGGGGGCCGGGGCAAGGAGGAGGCTGGAGCACGGGAAGGGGCCGCCGTAGTTACTGATATCCCAGTGCAGAAGCTGAAGTTAGTCTTTGGCCGTAGAGCGCGTATGGAGAGTAGTAAGGTCCGGCGGCCGGCAAGGAGGGCACCGGCAGGGCACCGGCTGTGGGCAAATGGCTCTTGCCGTAGGGGTGGTACCTGTTTAGTCCCAAAGTGTGTGGGCTCCTCAAGGAGAGGGAGGCGGGTAACGTGTTGGGGCTCCCGGGGGCGGCGGGCGGGAGGTGGAGGTGGCAGGAGGCTGCGGAGCCCAGCCCGGAGGTAGGGTAACCCGCCAAGAGTTTTTCCGCCCCCGGCAGGGCCGTGTGGGTCCGTAGGTGGGTGAGCAGCTCCTCCGAGGTGGCAAACCTCTTGTCGCAGGGTCCGCTGGCAGACACCCAGTTGCATATGTGGGGCAGGGGGTCGTTCTGCAGCATGAAGCCGTAGGTGTAGAGGGGGTGGCCGGGCAGGCTGGGGGTGCCGCTGGAGGAGAGCGTGGTATGCACCGAGTGCAGCGGGTGCGTGGGGTACACCAAGGGGTATCCACTCTTCAGGCTGCCGGGGTCGTGCACGCAGCTGGAGCAGTTGCCGGAGCCCAGGTGCGAGGCGCTGTGGTAGCTCAGGCAATACGGGTCCCGGCATAATCCCTGCATGAAGGAGGGCGGCGAGGCCCCGGTGAGCGGGCTGGAGCTGGGCGGCTTGCCCGGCAGCCCCAGCGCCCCCGGCAGCTGGCTGCCCACCAGGCCCGGCTTGGTGGGGTCCAGCCCGGGCACAAACTGGGAGGGGTAGCCGGCGTAGGCGCCGACGATGGAGCCGTGGTAGCCGATGCTGGAGGGCGGCAGGGGGAAGACGGAGTGGCCCGGCTTGTAGGGCGAGACGGGGGCCACATGGCCGGAGGGCGGCAGGGCGGGGGGCTCCGACTTGCGACCCGAAGGGGGCTCGCCGTGCGCCCCGG